CCCAGCAGGTCGAGGCTGCGGTGGCCATGAGCATGCCATTGCACTCCAGTCTGGGCAACTGAGTAAGACTCCAACTCAAAAAAAAAACAAACAAACAAAACAGAACATGGGCTTTGCAGGAGTTCAAGAGTGCAGTGAGCTATGATCATGCCACTGTACACCAGCCCGGGTGACAGAGCAAGACCCTGTCTTTTTTTTTTTTTTTCCTGAGTCATAGTGTCACTCTGTTGTCCAGACTGGAGTGCTATGGCACAATCTTGGCTCACTGCAGTCTTGACCCCCTGGCTCAGGAGAATTTTCTGCCTCAGCTATGCAATAGTGGGGACTAAAGGCACATGCCACCATGCCTGGCTAATTTTTAGTTTTTTTTTTTATGTTTATAGAGATGAGGTCTCGCTATGTTACCTGGGCTGGTCTCAAACTCCTGGGCTCAAGCAATCCTCTCGCCTTGACCTTCCTAAGCGCTAGAGTTACAGGCATCAACCATCTACCCAGTCGATATCCTGTCTTTAAAAATTAAAAGAGGAAGAAGCAGAACAGCAACAACAACTTGGGCTTTGAAGCTGGACTACCTGATTGCAAATCCTGGCTTTGTTGCTTACTTGACTGTGGGCAAGTTATTTAACCTCTCTGTGCCTGTTTCCTCATCTTTTGAATGCAGATCATGTATCTCATTGATTCCACAGCCTTTTTTTTTTTTTTCACATTAAAAAATATAAAGAGATGAGATCTCACTATGTTACCTAGGCTGGTCTTGAACCCCTGAGCTCAAACAATCCTCCCACCTTAGCCTCTCAAGGGCTGGGATTATAGGCCTGAACCACTGCATCCGGCCTCTTTTTACATTTTAACATCTTTGAAATCAGAATGCATCTTAAATGGAAGACATGCTATGGCTCAATGGATGATTTTTTATTTCTTACATAAAAATAATGGTATATGTTACAACTGATGATATCTGAAGTTCAGTAAAATGCAGTGGCACTTACCTTATAGGATTACTGTGAAGTCCAGGTAAGTTCATGTAAAATGCTTGGGTCAGGCTGGGCACGGTGGCTCAAGCCTATAATCCCAGCACTTTGGGAGGCCGAGATGAGAGGATTGCCTGAGCTCAGGGGTTTGAGACCAGCCTGGGCAACTTGGCGAGACCTCATCTCTGCAATAAATAAATAAAAGAAATAAGTCAGGCGTGGTAGTGCACACCTGTAGTTCCAGCTATTTGGAAGGCTGAGGCAGAAGGATCCCCTGAGCCCTGCGGGTCGAGGCTGCAGTGGCCATGAGCGTGCCATTGCACGCCAGCCTGGGTGACAGAATGAGACTCTGATTCAAAAAAATAAATAAAGAAATACATAAAATGATTGGGTCTGTGCTTGACATATAATGGGCATCCATTAAGTATTAGCTATTATAATCTCTTGCTTAAAGACTTTCACTAGCTCCTCCTTGCCTGAAGTGTATAGGCCTGGCCTCTATTTTACCCTGACATTCAGGGCTCTCCCTCAGCTGCTCGCATTTGTCTTGTCTGCTCCTCAGGCCAGAGCTGTCCAAACACAGACCTAACTAGAATCTCTACTTGGATGCCCACAGACATCTCAGATTCCACATGTCCAAACTCACCTTCTTCTGCGACCCCACCCACCTCTTGTGAACTCTTTCAAGCCAAATGGCAGCATCAACTGGATATCCTCTTCCCTCCCCTCTTCCTCTCATGCCCTGATGCCCAGTTCTCATCGGTAACCAAGCGATCTACCTTTGTAATACTTCTTGGAACCTGGCTCCCACGTGTCCCTGAGGCTTTATCTCTCAGCACTGCCCACCCCAGTGCACCCCTCCCCCCGACAGCCATACTGAATCACTTGTAGCTGTTCAAACACTTCCTCTTTTCTCGTATCTCCTTGCCTTTGCCCAGGCTTGTCCCTATACCTGAGATGCCCTTCTCCTTTGGCTCAGACACAACCTCTTCTGAGAATCCTTCTCTGAGCCTCTGGGACAGAGCACGCATCCCTTCTCCAGAAACCTCTCAGCGGTGGCACCTGTTATGTCAAGGTGGTGGTGTTTCTCTACTCATCTTCCCTCTAGCCTATGCACTGCCCTATAAAGCCACCCCACAAGGGTTTGTTACCTTTGCTTCCACAGTGCTTGGCAACTGCAGACACCAGGACATGTCCATGACAACTCCAGTCCTTTCTCTGAATCCTGGTGACATGCAATTCCCTAGTAAGCTCTTCATGAGCATGTAGCGTGGGAGGCTGATTGAGTCTGTGTTTCTTTCTGTGCACATAAGGCCAACCCACTGGAACGGGGCCTGCCAGGGCAGGACTGGTTTTTCTGAGCCCCTCACCAAACAAGGAAGTCTGTTGTGGATGTGTCAATTTTTTAGAATGGTCTCCAAATTATTATTATTTTTTTGAGTTAGAGTCTCACTCTGACACCTAGGCTGGAGTGCGGTGGCACGCTCACGGCCACCCCAGCATCGACCTGCTGGGCTCTG